TTAATAAATAAATAAATATAAATTATTTAATTTATATTAAAATTATAAAATTATATAAATACTAATCTAATTAAGTTCAATATATATACAGAATAAATATTATACTTAAGTTATGATATTAATAGATATTAAATCTCTTGGTAATATTTCTTTATATATATAGCTGAATCAGATAGAAAAAGTTATAAAGTTAAGAAAGAAATAAATCATTCAGTCAAAATTCAAACTACTAATTATCTAATAATTATATTATTAACTATTTGCAAAAAATTAACTGATATAAGCTTTATTAAATTACAAAAATAAAATAATATATTTAAATTCAAGAATCTGTAATTTTATCAACAATAATTACTACAGATTTTTCTTGAAACTCAGTTTGCAATACTTAAATGTGATTTTTAAATAAGTTGAATAAATATCTGTGATGTAAAGTATCAGTAATGGAAATAGTACTATCTTTATGACAATAAGTTTTCAAAAATAACCAAAATTTATCAACTTTTTTCAAGAGAAATATTTGTATTGATTCATGTCTTAAGAAACTCATATATTACAGATTTTTTTGGTCTCTGCAGCTCATATAACTATTTGTATACCTTGTGTCATTCATTTTCAATATGTTTATTTTTTTATTATATGTTTTTTGATATATAAATGAGAGATAATAAAAGAAATATTATCATAACTAATGACACAACAGCAGAAATAACATATGAGAATAGAATTTTTCAGCATAAAAGTCATCAGGATATTTTCGTGCATGAGATGCTGCTGTGGTTTTTTTTGTTGGGTGGCATTTGACGTGTTATAGTTAGAAAGAGGCAAAATGCATAATCTGAATAAATGCTTCTGTTATATGTACACTGATGCATGCATGACAAAAATAGTAATATTTAAATTCTGATAGTGCTATTCAGATGAAAAAAATTTTTTCCGGGTCCCTGTTTATTATCTAAAAAACACGTGATAAAAGATTAATAGTTGGAGGCAAACTTTGTACATATGTACGACCAGTTTTTTAAATGAATTAAAAGAAACAATTATCACTTCTTCACCCATAATTTTTGTTTCTTTTTCATCACTAATGATGTGTAACGCAACATTAACCAGACGAATAACTTAAAGTGGAAGCATTACGTGATTGGTACAATTTACATGTTTTGTTCATTATCATCATGTTTATATTGTTCGTAAGTCTATTAATAAAGCGATGCTAAAATTAAAGTATAATTTTTCAAGCGTGTAGATGATATCGACATTCACATGAACAATTATAGGACAACATACGAATTGAACAGTTGTTATATCTCTATTTAGATTATTCAGATAATTTAATTTTATACAACATCAGTTACTATACTCTTAATAAACATACGTCAAAACACCAGAAGCGCTGTCACATCATTTGTGGGTGATTAATGTATTTATATACACGTAACTGCGTCGTCTTGATGTACGTTCTTTTCCCAAAATCTTTTTATTTTATAAATTATTATTTTAATTTATTGCTTTGGTAAAGTAAATAATAAAAATAAATCTATTACTGTATTTCTACCCTGCATTTCCATAATACACATGTTGAACATCAACCAATTTCTTACCCCTTTGTCTCGCAATATCTTGTGGCAATCTTTGAGCCGCTAACGCTTCAAAAGTAGCTTTGATTACATTCATACCATTAGTCGAACCACGCACTTTACCTGTCAAATCGTGAATTCCCACACATTTACAAATCTCATGAACATAATGATTGCAACGAAGACCAAAGCCTAATTAAAATAATAATACCAATAAGTCGAGAAACTCATCTTGTCAAATTCAATTTATAAAAAAATCTCACCAGGTGGTCTCGCCATCAACTTCAATCGTGACGCCCCAAACTTATGTTCAATATCATGGTATATCGTCCGCTCATCATACCTCTCAAAATAATGTAAATTCTTTATAGCGACATTAGTCGCTTTCTTTATCGCCATGATCACCTCCTCGTGTTTTCCTTCGCCATAACCGGCGACACCTTCTCCGTTTCCCACCACAACCAACGAATACATCAACTGCATTTTTCCCTTCCCGGTGACATGAACCACACGTTTAATAATCAATGCTTTTTTGAGAAGTTTACTGATTTGTTCGACCGTAAGCCCGGTGACTGCGGATAGTGTTTCATTGTCGTTTTCTAGTTGTGAGTTAAGAATCACTTCGGGTTTCGTAACGGGGAACTTTTGATTAAAGTGTCCGCCTTCAAAATCGAGTATCGGATGAACTTTATTGAGGTCTGGTAGTTGGTCTTTTGCTAGGAATGGTAGTCGAGGACGTCGCAATAGGGCACGAGATACGAACATAGTACAAGCCCACTTTGAATAAATTTTTCCGTGATCAAGTTATTATCATGTGATATCTAAATTCAATTTCGAGTCGGACTTACCCAGGTCCGATTCTAATTCGAAATTGAACCGAACTCGGACCGAGTCATTAATTAAGCAAAACTTCAAATATTGATATTGCTCAATTACGAAGTTGATTTACTATATGTTCCGACTTCAGTAATCATTCGCTTGGATAGATCTTAAGACACATGCTTTCTGATAGATATTGATTTTTCCATATGCTTTGGCTGAAAAATATTCTCTTCATCCAATATTCATATTATTATTTTATAAAAATAAAATTTATTATATATGATCATAACATATTCTTTTTTATCCAGATTAAAAATTGGTTTTATAATTTGATTATAAGTATTATTATCAAAATCTTTTATATATAAATATTTTTAATTATTCTTGTATATTATAATATCTAATCACTTATATTTATTATAAATACACAGTAACTCTCTTTATAATGGATCACCTTTACAGTGGAGACTAATTAAAATCACGCTATAATGGATAAAGATTCAAAACCATCTATAATAAATTCTATTCAATATAGTGTATTTACTAATAAATTTTCAAAAACTCTCGATATAGTAGATTTTTGAGAATTTTTTACTAATAGATTTTTTTGATATACTATAAAGAGAGTCACTATGTACTTCTTTTCTTAATTAATCATATTTAAAAATTCATAAATTTATATATTAGTAATATATTTCTTTTATAATTATTATAAATATAAAATATAAATATTAAATTAATATTATAAATAAAATTAATAAATATTAATTATTCATAATTTAATTTTTAATTATATTGAATTTATAAAATATAATTCTTAATAAAATATATTAATATAAAAAACTTTATATAATTTTTTTTGAATTATATATTTTAAATATTAATATAAAATTATCAAATCTATAATTTTAACTTAATTTATAACTTATTAAGTTTAATATTTAAGATTTCATGATTTATTTTTGAATAATATTGATAATTTTATAAAATTTATACTCTTTAATAATTTTATTAACTATTATATTTTTGATATATCTTGCTTATTTTTATATATTACTCTTTTTAATTAAGTAATTATAATTAAGTCTTTATATCTTTCAATCTGAATCTTTTTTATAAATCAAGTTATTTTATTTCTTATTTATATTTAATTAGAAGTTTTGAAAGCCAGCACATATATATTTTTCTTGAATAATACATTATTAAATCAAGTTAAATATTATTAATAAAATCTTATTTTCTATTAAATTTTTTAAAATAAAATAAAGTCAATTACTTTATTTATATTAAATAAATATTCACAAAAATTCAACATAATAATATTAAAGAAAGGATTTCAGAATTAGAGATAAGAAATAGAATCAAAAAGACTTAAGAATTAAAAATAAAATTTATATGCATGCATAAAACTCATAATTTTTATAAGTTAAAAATGTATAAATAATTTATAATTATATAAAGAAATCAAATAATATTTTAAAAAGTGGAAGTAACATTAGAAAGAAGGGCAAATAATAATTTTACTTACAGACACATCTGTATTATGTGGTTAATCTTGATTGGCAATTGTTCGAATAATGTGGTGCCTATCCTCTATCACCGATCAAATGTGGCGAAACCGGCTAAACGGCTTGCCTTGCTTTAAGAACCCCCCAAAAATTTGCACATGTCTATTGGATGAATTACTGCCTTATTTGTTTTTTTATGTGCTGATAGTACAAAAATTTAAAGCTTGCATGCAGAAACCGGAATTCTTGGAAGGAAATTGATTATGCGCATATGTTATAATTTTCACAAAAGTTTTAAATTAGACAAAGGTTTGAAATTCTTTTTTTTTGTTGGAAATTTTCAGAATTCTTGTTATTTACAATTGCCAAATTTAGTAAGAGAATCATCATTTTGCATTTCCAGGCAGAAAATTACTTGGAATCTTTTAATGTAATGTCTAGATTCATTTTCAATGGATGTCCCTATGGTCCATTATATGTTTAATTTAAACAACAAAGTATAAAGCATATAATATGATAGCGTTCGTAAAATAGTTAATACGTACGTAGTATTATTGCATCAAAATAATCAATAATAGGTGACGTAATTGCTCGTGACAAATAATGACAAGAATTCTAATTGGCTAATTTTTACGATTCTGGCACCTGTTTGAATACGCTATATCGACCGCTTTCTAGAAGTTCGATTAAAGGGAAATGTGGGGTAGCAAAATATAAAATTATTCCGTCTATTATTGTGTCCGTGTATCAATCACTCTTGCTCTATAGTTTTTCTTTCGGAAGTAGTTCGCCTTTTTCGCCTCATTCTTCCTTATTCCGCTTTTGGAGTGTGTAAACCTTTCTTTAAAGTTTAATTAAAACTTTAAGAAACCAAACCAAGAAATAGATAGTAATTACCTTTTTTTTTTGAAAACTTTTCAAACATCCTCTATACTTAATTGGTTATTAGTTCTTTTTACCCCTCTAGTCTGAAATTCACTCTTGGCTCACTTGTAGAATCACGATTCGCCTTCGAATAACTTATTCTACCGTATAATTTGAAATAATGGGACAAACTTTATCTGAGCCGATAAGAGAAAAACACAGTAGCTCCGATAGCGATGCTCGTCTTTTGTATGCTTGCTTCCGCGATGCAAGAATTCTTGAAGGAGATTGATGTCCGTTTAGGTGCGTAGCGACGGAATTTTTAGTGATTATGCGCATAGGTTATAATTTTCACAAAGGTGTGAGCTAGACAAAGGCTTGAGATTCTTTTTTTTTGTTGGAAATTTTCATACTTGGTCCGAATTCGCGTTATAATTACACAATTACAATTGCCAAATTTAGTAGGAGAATCATCACTTTGCATTTCCAGGTAGAAAATTAATTGGAATCTTCTGTAGATTTATTTTTCAATTGATGTCCCCCCATTGACAATATGTTTAATTAAAATGCCCATTAACGTTAACAATATGCTTAATTAAACAACAAAGTACAAAGCATATAATATGATAGCGGGCGTAAAATAGTTAATACGTACGTAGTATTATTGCTTAAATACGAAAACATTATATCAAAAATAATCAATAATAGATAACGTAATTGCTCGTGACAATAATGGCAAGAATTATCATTGGCTAATTTTTACGCAATTTGTGTGACGTTAACAGAATTCCGGTATCCGTTATCATAAGGGATCCACAACTCCCTGTTTTGAATACACCGCTTTTTAGAGTTCGATTAAAGGGAGAGGTGGAGTAGCAAAATAAAAATTATTCTGTCTATTATTGTGTGCGTGTATCAACCACTCTTGCTCAATAGCTTTCTTTCGGAAGTAGTTCTCCTTTTTCTCCTCATTCTTCCTTATTCCGCTTTTGGAGTGTGTAACCTTTCTTAAAGTTTTTTTTTTAATTAAAAACTTTAAGAAAACCAATAAATAGAAGTTAACCTTTTTTTTTTTGAAAAATTTTCAAACCGTCCTCTATACTTAATTTGGTTATTGGTTCTTTTTACCCCTCTAGCCTGACATTCACTCTTGGCTCGCTTGTGGAATCACCGATTCGTCTTCGAATAACTTATTCTACCGTATAATTTGAAATAATGGGACAAACTTTATCCGAGCCGATAAGAGAAAAACACAGTAGCTCCGATAGCGATGCTCGTCTCCTGTATGCAGCCTCCGCGATGCAAGGCTGGCGTATAAGTATCCTTTTTGCGCGTGAAAATTTACCAAATTTTGCATAATTTTTCCTGAAATTAAAAGATGATGAAGAGATTCATGATCGGCATTCATCTTTTTTTTTACTTGCAATCATCACAATGCGAAAAAAAATATCTTTAATCCGCCGTTTATTATCCGTGGTTATTCGTTAGGCATGGAAGATGCACATACGACGAAACTTGAACTTGGTAACAAGAAAGGCCATAGTTTCTTTGCTGTGTATGATGGCCACGGTGGTAATTATCTATGATGTCTAATTAGCTTGGTCATAACGTGATGATTATAATTATGTATTACGCATAGATTGTATCGTAAATAATTGAGAAATTTTTATATCACCAAGGACAAAATGTTGCAAAATACAGTGGCATTCATCTGCACGACCGCATTGCCGAAAGTGAACAATTCAATAAAAAGAAATATCCCGAAGCAATAAAAGAAGGTTTTCTTGGTACCGACGAAGATCTGAAAAAAGGTAAACAAGACACCTCTAAATAGTGAGCATGTTGTTTTCGCAGTACCATCATCTAAAAGTCTTCCCCTTAATTAGATCCCAAGTATGCAAATGATCCCTCAGGATGCACAGCTGTCATAGCGCTTGTAACTCCTGATAATAAAATTTATGTGGTTCGTATTAAAATGATCATGATAATACTTAGCTATTTAAAACTTGTGGTATGATGCAAACAGAAATAAGAATCTATTTTGAACTTTTTCAGGGTAATGCTGGTGATTCTCGTGCTGTTCTAAGTGTTAGAGGAGAAGCTAAACCAATGTCAGAAGATCATAAACCAGTCAATAAAGGTGTTTTACCTTTACATTTTGTAAATTAGTCATTAATAATTTTTCCTTTTGCTTTTACGAATGATCAACTTAATTATTTTTCTAGAGGAACAAGCTCGAATTACAAAAGCTGGCGGATTTGTAGAGTTCGGTCGTGTCAATGGTAATTTGAGAAAAGAAATAAAATTAGTTTGATTAAGAAACACTAACTCATGAATTATGATACTTACATTTTTATTAAAGGTAATCTGGCCTTATCTCGTGCAATTGGTGACTTTGAATTCAAGCAAAATGAGAACTTACCGCCTGATGAACAGATTGTCACAGGTTGGTTTATGATTTTCAAAGTGAAACTTTTGTTATAAAAAAAATTATGATACAATTTTATACTTTCTCTCGAATTATTATTTTAGCTATGCCCGAAATAAAAGAAGAAACCATGACTACGGAAACGGAATTTTTAGTACTTGCATGTGACGGTAAGTTGAGTTGTAATCTTTTATATGATCTAGAATCTTTTTATGCTGGCCGATAAGGATATTCCCAATTGATAACTTGGATCTATTGTTCTCTGGTGAATGAGCAGCACTTTATTATATCCATGGAGGGATGAACTTTGAACTTGCAGTTTCTCTTTGACATACATTTTTATTCAAAAGTTGCATGGATTTGGCAGAACTCGAAATTCGAAAAGATATGATCCTTCCTCGCCAATTGATATCCAAATCATATACCTTTAGAAAGAGAGAATATAGATTTTTGGGATTTCTAAATTCGTGCCAAGCTTTTGCCAAGGTTACTGTACAAGACAAAATTCATATTTAATTATTTTTTCAGGTATCTGGGATTGTCTTACATCTCAGGACGTCGTCGCATTCATCCGTCAAGAAATTTCAACCGGCAATGACTTGAAAACCGCTTGTGAAAACCTCATGGAACAATGTCTCGCACGTGATAGTGAACTTGGCGGCATTGGATGCGACAACATGACTGTGGTTATCGTTGCTTTTCTGCACGGAAGAACCCCAAAGGAATGGCACGATTGGATAAAGCAGCGAGTAGAGCAAAAAATTGGGCCCGCTTTCGAAAAGGAGAAAGTAGTTATACAACCCCCAAATAATGCTTCCGAATACTCACAACTTGACCTGAATGAAGAAATAGTCGAAGATGATTTAGATATTACGGCTGATGCTAATCCGAATCCGGATGACTTTAACATTGGGTTAGAAGATAGTGATGCAGCACAACAAAATTCATTCAGTATTGATACGCCGCCGAGAAAGCAACACAGTAGACATAATTCCGGTAGTAATAGTCGTTCCTCGAGCCGGAGTAGCAGCACCGATTCTGGTCTTGTCATAAATTCCCCGAGTCGAAGTAGCAGCACCGATTCTGGTCCTAGCATTGATTTCGATAATGAAACTGACGATAAAAAAATAGGTCCACAAGAAAAAAGTGATGCTACTACCACCACCACCGCCAACGACATTACCACTATAGCGACAACAGAAACAGAGAAAAATTTATCGACATTGTCATCTCCGGTGAAAGTTGCTACTAATAATGAGATTCCTATCACTGCTGCAGCTGCTAATCAAACAACAACGGGAAACAATAAATATAATACATACCCTCAGGGCAATAGGGACATGAAGTAATTTGAACACTGCATGCAATGAGTAAGCGCTTGATTTTTAAACTTTCGATATTGAGCGTTTAACGTTTTCAATATCGTAAAACAAAACCATATATATGAAATATTAATCTCAGATGAATTGATTATTGTTCTCTTCTTTTCTCATATATATACACATATATATATAAAATATTAATAGCAGAAATGGATTTAAAGCACACGTTACTAACGCTAACCTCCAAGAGCATCCCTCGGCAACTAGAGTCACCACAGCAGCCACCAAAAGAACTTTCGACATTCTCATATGCATGAATTCATTTATTTTTTGCTATCGAAAAAAGGCCCAATAACCAGCCTAATGTAATTTATTTAAAAATAAGTTAGATCAAATATAGTTTATCAGTTTCTTATTTATAACAGAGCATCGACATCAAAGCATATAACGATAACAAAAGCTATGTATCATGTACTACTAAATTGTCTATACAGTATATATATTGAAACTTATTGTCGAATTTTATATTATTTTTTTTTGCTGTTATGTGCAGCATTTGTAAATTTTTTGGATCCGTTGTACATGCTTTACCATTTTTTTATAGGTCACATAATAACAATATATCGGTACAAAAAGAGACAATCAATCCATCCGTCCCTTTATTAGATCAAAATTCTTTGCTATACAAATTTAAATTAATAATAATGTTACATAACATACAAACCATTACATGCTATTTATACAATTACTATAATTGAAAAAAGGGGATCGTTAAAATTATGTAAATTAAAAAGAGTAATAAAGAGGTTATTAAAAGGTGATGTGTCTAGATATACGCATGCTCAAAGTTCGTCGTCGTTGCTGTTGGTTATAAGCTCGTGGTATAGACTAATCAAAAAACAATTAAAGATTTATGTTAATGCCAATCAGTGTTGAAATTCAATGTTCTCAGGAACATTAGATTTTAATATATATAGAACAAGAATTATTTTGATGGAGAATATCAAAAGTTAGGTGGGGACATTGAAAAAATCAAAGTTTGCTGTTCATCTGAGAACAGAAAAATATTGAATTTTTCAATAATAAAAAAGAGTGGGCCTCAAACAAAAAGGTTTACCTTTGAAGAATCTTTATTTATGATAGCCTTTGCTACCGAATATCCTAGACTCATGGTTGTGATCTGTTTTTATAAAAATTATAATGAAAAATAGAGCAATAAGAATATAAGGAATAGTGATAATAAGACAAGACATACCATCGGATTTACTCCTACTGCACTAGGGAATAAACTGGAATCAGCCACATGCAGATTTTTCGTCTCCCAACTTTCACCATCCTGATCAACTACCGAAGTTCCAGCATCTACACCCATTCGACTAGATCAAGATAGAAAAATTTGAATTGTTTCAAAGCGGGTAACCAACACACAAACATGAGAAAATCCAAATCCAAATTCTTACCATGTGCCCATCTGGTGAGCACTTACAAGGTAAGTTTGATTCGGTATACAACCGACTTTTGAAACCTTTTGAAGATACTGCAAGAATTGCGGGTCATTCAGTGGATGCTCTTTAGCGGTCACAAACTCATCGATGCCCGCTTGTCCCGTCCCAACTTTCTTTGCGCCAGCCGCGACAAGAATCTTTAGACCAGCGATAAGACCAGCGACGATGCTTTTGCTGTCGTGTTGACTTATTGTATAATGAATACGTGGTTTGCCATCTGAATCAATAACAACTCGGCCGCTATCTTTGTCGCGCGTTAACACAACTAACGCAACCATATGATTTAGCTGTGTCATTAGTAATTTATGTTGTAGAGATGATTTCCAAGGAAACGAATATGAAATTGTGGATGGATGTAAAGTAGGAACTTCAATTTTGGCTCCATAGTGATTCCCGTCCACGTTTTCTACCACATTCGAGACTGCTGTAAGAATTGTGCCCTTATAAGCGTGGACATCCTTATCAAATATTCCATATAGCAAGACGCAGGGATGTGTATAAAGATTTTTCCCGATATTTTTATTTTTCAATCCACTTCGAAGCAACAACGCCGGACTATGAATAGCACCAGCAGCAACAATGACCCTCTTAGCGCGTACAACAAATTGATGATCATCATCATCTCCGACTCTCGCTAACACCCCAGAAGCTTTTCCGTTCTCCACCAAGACTTTCTCAACGAAACAATCTTGAAGGAATTTCGCTCCGTTATCTTTCGCATCCTTCAAGAATGTCATGATTGATCCTTGCTTTTCACCATATTTGCAGCCGAATGTGCACCACCCACATTTATGTTGTTTTGCGGCGGAATTTTGTGGTACCGTTTCCACTTGAATTCCTAGTTTTTTACAACCTTCTATCAATATTTTGTTACTGACGTTGTGAACGATGTTCTCATCTGTTACGCCCATTCTTGCCGATACTACGTTTAAGGATCTTCGATAGTCTTCGGTGAGAAAATAGCCAAGCCCTTGTTTGACCCATTCTTCCCGCACAAAATGTTGCGGCTATTCATTATCATTGTTTTCAGATGATGTTACATCGAATTGATATAGTTAAAATCATGATTAGAAATATTGAAAATCAGATAATCACTTACCCTTAATGAAGCAGACCAATTTATTGTAGTACCACCGCCAAAAGTAGATCCAGCAAGAATACCCAAGCTTCCATCTTCCGAGATTGCCAATCCGGCATTTTCGTACAACTTTTCAGTAGCATCAGCTTGTTCCAAAGTGAGATCACGTTGATGATAATATTTTCCTTTCTCAATAACCAATACACTATATCCCACTTTCGATAATTCCGCCGCAGCGACACTACCGCCAGCTCCCGATCCAACTATAATCACATCGAAGGTTAACTCCGTCTCTTTTGAGGAAGAGCTAGCAGGAGGATCTATAAATTCGAACCGAGGAAACTCCTTGCTCGTGAATCGTTCTCCTTTAGCCTCCGGGTCTGCTCCTGGGTATCCTATCGCCGGATAAAAATGGTATGGCGACAACCAAAAATTGGTGCAAATCAAAAGATAAAAGTTTCGAAAGGTTTTTCGTTGGAAACCTTGATTGCTTGTGCTCCATCTTAGTAACACTGCTTCTCGTTGTTTCTTGTTAAGTTCATAGAAAGGTTTCGCGTAACCGGTAAGTGGATATGCGGTTAAACCATTCGACATCACTTTAAGTGCGAAATCAATTTGTTGAACTTTATCATTAGGAACATGCTTCACAAGCTTATCTTGAATTCTATCTAAGAAATCCTCGACCTTTGATAAATCATATTTGCCAAGCTCCTCGACATGTTTCGTGTGACTAGTGACAACCTTGGCGCCACTTTTCATAAGAATCTCTTGTTCTGATTCTTCGAGCTCTCCGATAAACGTGCCGATTAGTGCACGTAGAACTCGCAATTTCTTCTCGTTGAATATTCCGGAGCTTGTTGAGGACGACGGGGTCTTTAGTGATTGTTCCGCCATTTCGGTTTCGTGCTTGGGTGATAAGATTTGTTAACAGGCGCAATGAATTTTTTTTGATTTGAAATATATTCGATGAACAAACATGCTAACTAAATTTAAACCAAAATAAGTGGAATAAAGTTCGTCATTATTCCAAATATGGTTGATTTTAATCTCTCGGCCGTTACTTTTATCATCTATCTTCTAGAACTGTGAAGTTTTCCATTGATAGATAATATGAAATTGGAGAATAGCAAAACGAATCAAAAAGAAAACAACATCGTTCAAAGCATCTTCGAAGAAACGCATTATTTTTTTTTAACGTGCATGCATCAGTACCGTTTGATCATCATTAAATAAAACGTGGATTTGTGAGACTCGGAAAAATAATGGAATTCACATGTGAGTCAACCAGCTCATATGATTATTCGCTGAAAGAAGTAAAGAATAACTTACACGTGTTACCTACCGTATTCATTATTTCGAAACCGCATCCTTTAAAAAAGCCCGAAATAACGCGCACCCATATAACAGTGGATTTATGTCATGCGATAAATGTTTTTACAAATTAACGAATGACGAAACCAGTATTAAGTAAAACCTTCTTATTGAAACCTTTTTGTTAATCTTATCGTATTTTACATCATTTTACACTGTGACTCATTTTTGCACTGTAAAATGATCAGCATAAATGTCGATACATTTACTTTCACATGACATAAAATAGATATTAAAGGAACTAAGAATGGTAAATTCTTCGATGAAATTTTCAATATAGGCAATCAAATTTTCTCCAAGTTTGACAACATTGAATGAAGCCGAAGACATGATCTGCCTCGTGTCATTGGTCTGCATATTTGACCTTTGAATATTATGGAAAAGCTTTTGCTTTGTGAGGCTTCAATGATTTTCTCAAAAACCGGCACTCACCCGTGATATGTAGACTCAATGAAGTGGATCCTTGGAACTTGAATTTGTGATAATTGGCTATGTAGTTGTGGAGGTATGTTTTTTTTAATTAAATTGATAGTTTTTTATAACTTTATTATATTAATTACTATTTATATTTTAGAATACGAACTGATCGTAAATTGTGTAATTTTTTATTTCACCAAAAAACATTTCAAGTAGATAATTATCCGTTTTTTTTTCTTCTAAAAATGCTCAAAGTTTTGAAGAGTAAATTAATTACAAATATCAATAAGAGCCACCACCGTTCGTTATTTTTTTGCATATGTTGTCTTAATTTTGAATCACCATGATGAAGATGATGATGAAAATATTTTTATATCAAGAATCATCCTCATCCTCATCATCATTGTCATCTTTCGCTTTCCTCTTTTTAATTTCCCGTATTTGAGAATCGTCCACCGCCACCTTTCTGAAAAATACAATAGTCTTGGGATTCTTTGACACAACCTCTTCGTTCCCACATTTGCTCATTCCATCCTTAAATCCCAAAGTTCTTCGATGCTGATACCCAGGAAACTGATCCACCAGAAACGGAATTGTCTCTTTTATTACTAAAATGCCAGTGCTCTTTGCAATCTTTCGGATATTCCATTCATCGTATGGTGGTCCTGTTTTCATGGTGACGTGGATTTCTCCATCAGCTACATCTTCAGCTGGGTGGAGTACGCTAGATTTGAGAAATTTTGACGAGGAGGAAAAAAAGCCTTGTAAAAGTTTTTGATTTGCGAGAATATTTCGATCTTTATCTTTTATGCCCATTCCTAAGATATTTATTATTATGTGAAAAAGAATCAGGATTGAATAATATCGGCAAACAACTATCTTTATTGCATCATCATCATAAATACCCACCGACATGTGGGAAATTAAATATAATCTTATCAAATCGTTTTCCCTTGAGGACTTTATATTTCTCCAAGAGAGTACCGTCGATCTCAAACAACACTGTTGCACCGTACTCTCGAAGGATTTTAATATTCTCACGCGCATCCTCATACTTTTCATAAACTAGCTCTTCATTATCGTATGAGGTCGCAGTGATTGTTTCCCCCGTGGTTAGAATGTGTTCTGCGAGGGAGCATGCAAAGCTAAAGTTTCCTTGTATTTATTAATCAATTGATCGGTTTAATTATAAAATCCTGGGAAGATTAGATCGGTGAAACGAATAAATGATACCTTCTCCAACCAACAAGATTGATTCGCCTTGCTTATAGGGAGGTGGTCGTGGCCTCAAAATCTTGACATTCTTGTCATTGCCTTTATTATGCTTGGCTTTTGAGGTGTTTCTACCTATGATATTATTGCCAGTATGGTTTCGGTTGTCGCGTATATTGTTATTTATTCGTTTATCTCGAATTAACTTCTCCTGTTGAAGTTTAAGTAGCGCGGTTCTTAGTTTTGATTTTGATTTGATTTTTGGCATTCTTTGTATAACGTGTAAGTGAAAAATTTACACTCGTACATTGATCGTCAATTAACGAAAAATGAGCACCGCTATCAAAAGGAAGGACATGGAAGAAAATAAGAAAATTAAAGAAAAAAACAAGAATATCATTAAGAGACCAAAAAAGATAATAAAAAGAGCACCACAACGACCTGCAACAATGCCCTTTGACATATACATTTCGTACGGGAAACCAAATTTCATTGGACAGTTGGAACGTGCTAAAAAACTTCTACTTCAGGAGAGGTAAGGGTAACCCTATTCAAGCAGCAATAGGTTAGTTTTGGGAAGAAAAGCTACAATGAGTAATAAGATAGCGAATAACGCAGAGATCTGATCATATAATCCTAAAGGTATCCAAAAATCATAGTACACGCTCTCGGTCCCGCGATTCCAAAGGCAATAAACCTTGTGATGCAATTAAATGAAATAACGCACAATCAGATAGAATATAAAGCAACTACGAATACGGTGTCATTGTTTGATGATATTGAACCGGAGGATGAAGTAAGAAGACGAAATATTAATTTTATTTTATTTTATTTTTTTCGAAGGATTATTTAGTAGTTTGTCGATGATTGATTTTTTGCTATGGTGTTTATTTTATCTTTTTGGCTTTTTCAGGAGCAAGACTATGAAATACAAAAAAGATATAATTCCGCCGTGCACATACAAGTCTCATTAAAGAAGGGTGTATTGGAAGGAGGATCATCAGCTGCAAAGATCACGAAATCCTGAAAATGAAACCAAAGATATCTAGTTTCATTCAACAAAAAAAAAGAAATGTTCCAATCGAAATATTTTAAACAAATAAAGTGAATATATAATACAGCATGTAATAATAAACAGATACATATTATATAAAGGAAACAAATTATTATTAGATATGGGAGAAAAGAAAAGGTATTACTATAAAAATATATACGTGATAGATTTTGTTCAAGAAGCATTAAATTCTAAAATTATCTATATATATAATATATATATATATATAGATAGAAAGTAATAAAATTATGTAAATTAATTAATTGAGCTATACAAATATGTTCATAATTATATCGCATCAAAAACCCCCCTCCTCATCATCAACAACAAATAAATTTTCTTATCAAAAGAAAATTATTGAAAATCGATGAATAAAATAATCCCGCAGCATTATACTATTATTTCCCAATTAAGGTGATTTGTAAGCGAGAGAGATATATATATGGAAAACGAGAGTGAAGTTAAAAATACAGCAACTCGAGTGTCATGAAATAAAAATATTGTTCGAATAGTAATAATTTCAGAAATATCGAAAGAGATAAGAGATTATATACTTTATAATTGATTATTCTTCGGATGACTCGATTTTCATCGATGACGCTGGTTCTTCTTCCGACTCCTCATCATTATGTGTCGCCTCACCCCATCCATTATCATTATCGTTATCTTCACCAATGTCATCCTCCCCAAAAAGGTCATTAGTTTTTGTGGTCTCGTCTGCTTGACTAAGAAGCTCCTCAGTACGAGCTTCATCTTCAGCTCCGCCATCTCTTTCCTCATCTTCTTCTTTGATTACGACATCATTTTCTGTATCATCTACTGAACCAAGTAGTTCTTCTGCTTGGTCACCACTAAACTCATCATGTTCTTCATCTCCACCTGCTACACTTGCACCATCTTTAGCGCTACGAGAGAATCCAGAAGCATCATCTTTTTTCCTTAAGTGATCAGTGAGATACTTGTTCATTGTAAAGCTGTGCATTCGATCCTTGCCAAATATATGCATTAACTTCTCATCGCATATAATAAATCGTTTGTCCTTGGGATCCTGAAGATTATTCTCTTTAATATAGGACCAAAGACGTTTAACCACTTCGAGCCTAGAAAGCTAATATCACACACACAATCATATACACAAAAGAGAGATCAAACTTACTAAAAGGTAAATGAGGGATGATCCTATACGAAATCATTATTAAATTTGTTTGCTCACCTCCTCTTGGCCAAGAAATTCCGATAACACCGGACTCAGCAACAACGGTTTATGTATTCCCGTGTTGCCCTTTCGTTTTTTTGGTGGAGTTTCTCCATCATTATCTTCCAATTCTTCGGTCTTTTTCCTCTTATTTGAAGTTTTTTTTTTCTTTGGTGTTGCATCGCCATTCTTTGATTTCGATGATTTTTTGCCATTGGGTGTACTGTTGTTGTTATTCGTCTCATCATCAGATACATTAGGCGCGCTTTTCGTGGCATTCTTTGGTTTTCGACCTCGTTTCTTTTTGGCCACATTCGAGTCCGAAGGACGATCATCGTCTATTGACGAAGTATCCGTTGCATGATTATTGTTATTATTATTGGTGTTTGGAGAAGCGGTAGTAGTATTGTTAACTTGTTTCGATTTTGGTGGTCGTCCTTTGGTCTTCCCAGTCTTTTTGGATGCCTTTTGTGATGTCACTTTTTTTGCTCGCTCGCCATTAATCGTATCTTCTTCCTTTATCTCAGCTTTTACCTCAACTTTTCCCTCTTCTTCCTCCACCTCCTCCTCCTCCTCGTCGTCAAAATCCAATTCATCAAAACATTGCTCAACGAGCTTTTGTACTTCGGGTTTTCGCGACGTTAGATCAACTTTGTACCGTTCTTCCAGTTTCACTCGGACATCTTTGGCTGTGATAACATTGAGGTCCGATTCTGAAAGTATGGTACGTATTGTAGGTATATACTCTTGTAAATTGATCTCTGCCATGTCACAAAATATGATGCTTCGCAAGTAACAGGGTTTGGATTGGATTCTTTTATTTTGATGAACTACAAAGAAAATATAAAACTCTGAACATAAAACACAATTTATTACTATCGTACAAGGATTTATTTATTACGAGAAAAAGTAACATCTATATATGACGTCATGAGCGCAAAGCCATAAATACTTGTGACTCCGCTTTTTTACTGATTTACAAAATCCTGCCTTTCTTGATTTGCTGATCCTTTAGTTTTTCCCAAACTTAAAGGCATGATGGTGATTTTTTCAATTTCCCTTCTGATGATGTAAGGGAATCCTTTAACTAATGAGCAATAATATGTCTATTGTTATAATATTCTTCATAGTTAATGGATGATATGCATACTTTGCTGTTGTAAGATGATGTCTTGTAATGCTTTTAAGGTTATTGACATTCTTTTTCCGCGCCGGATATTAATCTGCCTTTAGGGATCGCATCAATCACACAACTCGTCGTATCACAAAATCTTTCCATATCCGGATCCGATTTATCTTTGGATTGTACACCACGGAAATCCAGTCTTATTGATTTGTGCTTCTTGCCCGTTATCGAGGTGGCTTTTGGAGGTTTAGGCGAGTGTGGGGTCGGTTGTGGAGGAAGAGACGCAAGAATTGCATCATATTGTTCTGCTGTTATTGCCTCAATAGGCATTTGCGGATATGCCCCATGTGGCATCCGTGGAAGAAAGGAAACACCTGTATATAATGCGAGAAATTGGGACATGAAGCGTGAATAAGAGCAAACGATAAGAATTATAAAAGTTAAATTTAAATTCACCTTTTAATTGATATTGAAAATAATCAAGAGCATGCACTAGATGTTGTGCTTCAGTCACAGGATCAAAGGTCACCGTACAACTAACCTGAATTCAATAAAACATGGAACTCTTAAAAAGATAATTATAAATCTAAAAAAATATGCGTCGAAAAAGTGCATAGCGCGTACTTGATTATCGGACCAATACTTTTGCAAAAAAGCTGCCAAACTTAACTGCTCCCACATGCTCACTTCACTTAAACTTCTTATTCCCTCGCCGTGATCTATCGGGAATTCGACGACAAGAGAGTTTGGTTCCACGACGTCTTGTTCCACCTTAAACCCATATTTTGACAGGGGTTCAACTAATTCTGACTGTTTCGAAATGCGAACACGGCGTATACAATATCGTGATTCCGGATAGTGCATTCCAGGAGTGGCTAATGTAACATATTCTATTAATTATTTCCGACAATGATTTTTTTTTCTTCATAATTCTTTACCTCCGGCTAAAAGCGAAACGGTTCCACTCGGTTTGATGGTCGTCGTTTTGATGGATTTGGGTATGCAAAACCATTCAGAGATTCTAGATTGAAAATTTATATATGTAACATCAGGGTAATAGTACAGCATCAAGTTATCTTTTACTGAATAATGCTCACGTCTCATCAACTTCTTGTATATGGGCATATCCCTTTTCGCACCAAAGTTTAAATTCATCGAGGCCTAGAATCAAAAAAAAAATAGTAAACATACAAGAAATATAAAAAAAGCGAACATTAATACTATATTATATTAGTAATATCGAATAAATTCGTTACCTCGCTGACTAATAAACTGTGCAACGCCACTCAATCCACACCCAATCCTACGATTTCTCAACATAACAGCGTTACTTTGCGGCCAGTGAGTTTTCGCCAAAGTCACAGTTTTGGCATATAGGAACGCATTTTGTAGCGTCTCGAGAAAATCGTCAAGCGTCGTGTGATTGCATGGAAAAACTTCCACGAGACAACATAGTTCGTAAGATTCGAGAGTCTGTTCTAGACAAGGGTTACCACCTTGGGCTCGTCGATCTTTATAATTCTGATAGCAAAGGGCGATAGAAATTAATTACAATTACAAACACGAATAAAAGAGAGTTCTAATTTTACCAGTGGATCGGCCATTCGACCGAAAGCTCGTGCATTTTCCAACCATGCAAAACCTGGCTCTCCGTTGTTAACCACACGATCACATATCTTTTCGTAATTTAAGCCTAATGGCGCGAACACCTATAAAATATTAAACGAGAATGAAAAAATTTGTTTTATTTGATTTAGCTGGAAAAAGTATATTGAATCAACTTAATATATTACTCACCGAGTTATTAGATGTCCATCCATACTCACTTCGATGTGGATTCACCAGATAGTTCTTTAGATCAATGTATTCATTATCCAAGGGATCACCAAACGCAATTTCTGCCGTTCTTCGAACCTTATATATATTACATTTTATTTTCCCCTGAGTGTATCGAACATGATTGTATCGCAAAAATAAATTCCGAAGATCGGTTAAAATTATGACTCACATTTCCACTGACTACGCATTTTCCAATAAGGTTCATTATATCAACAATTCCAGTGACACTTAACGGTAAACCGACACGATTTTCCAGGGTTTCTCGAATCCGTTCGTGTAGGTGGATTAATGGGCCAGAACCAGAAGATACACCACCAAAGCCCTGCAACATGCCCACCGGATCAGTTGAATAACAGAGACTTTTAGATTATAATTAAATTACATGAATAAACCATCATTACCTTTATAGGCTGCCCGGCAGCTCTTATAAGAGAATAATCAAATTCACAAGGTGCGGCGTTCTTCTCGAGATACGAGTCAATTAACATCCCAACAGATTTCACCCAGCCTAAATAAATAAATAAATTAGCTTTAAAGCTGGTAATTTTAAACGTGATAAAATTTTATTTCACCTTCTCTAGAATCTTCTATCACATATTTATTCACTGGCTTTGACTTATTTGGTAGTGTGACCAAATTTTGTTTAGCTTTTGCGGCAGCGGCACCTTTTGTATCAAATCCAACACCAACCCTTTTTTTAGGAATAAAAGAGGTCATTAAAATAGGAGGGGAAGGTTCTGCTACAAGTCAAAATATAATTTTAAACTCACCCCAACATGGATGCATCCATCAAAAACGCAAAAGGTGTACTAGGGCTTCTACGACCATCCCACATATTTTCTGTACTTACGAATGCACAATTATTTAACGCAGCAAACATACCACGTTCTTCAGTAAGAGGGCTCCCCATTGCCCATAAACCTGTAAACAATGCATAAGTCAATAATCATGACAAGATTAAAAAACGATATATATATATATATATGCTTGGAATTTACCTCTTCCGGGAGGCAAAAATTTCATATTAAAGATTTTATCATACATATTTTGTGCAGATGAATGTGCCTAATTATAAATAAATTCTCAGTAAGAGATAATCAAATAAAATTGAAACAAATAAAAAAGCACACACTTGATGTGAATCCCAATAAAGTTCATTTTGTTCAAGCCATCTTTTCTGAATATTAAATGTCCCATTGACGACCCTTTCCACTGTTTCCCACCTGCATATAAAGATCATGAATTGATTTTTTTTCTCTTACTTAAAGAATCAACCGATGGGGTTTTTCACACTGACCACTGTTCCTTCTCTCCGTCTTTCTTTAACCGGGAATAACTACGCCGATATACAATTTCACCAAGCCCGTTGAACCCAAAAGGAGGTATGGCGTCCTTATATTTTCCCAAGAATGGCTTTGTAAGCTTAAAGTCACCAGCTTTTGGGCGTCGAACAACATCAACAAGGTCGGGGTTTATTTCTATCAGAGTGTTGCTGGTGACATCGGATGTAGCCGTGGCGAGTTCTCGTACGTTCGTAAAAGCAGAAAAGCACGCGCTTTTATTGAGTATAGTCAATATTTTCGTAAAAGGCGTCAAGCGTGATTTCGGTGCAACTACATTTTAAGGTAATTAATGTAAATTATTTCGAGCTTTAATTTGTTAAGAATGGATCTCAGTAATATACTAGCCTTTCGAGGCGTTGGACAGCATGCTAACGTATTTCAGCCTTATACAACAAATTTAGCAACAGAAAATTCTGCGCGACGAACGTAATTTGTATTTTTTTCAATGAAGCACCCTGTGAGAATTCGAAAAAAATAATTGTTCAAACACGTAATAATAACGCGTGTAAACTTTTTTTAATCACATGACACATTGTATTGTTTGTTGATGTAATGTCCAAAATTTCCTTCAATGATCAATGATACAATTTAAACATGTCTCTCGACCTTAGCTTTATCAGTGACATTGATACGAACATGGAAGCGGAATCAAACAAGAGAGATGTATGTATGTAGTTTTGACTCTTCAATAAATATTGGAAGTATTTGGTTCACGTTTTATGCGCTTTTAGGAATTTCACCGAATAGTAAAAGAGTATGATCGAACTTGTCGTAATATTACGGCAATCTTAAATGGCGTGCATAGCGCACCACCAGAAGAAAGTAATTCAGCCAATTTGATGCTTCATTGAAAGAACTGACTACAAAGAAAGTTTGTAAAATATTAGTTTTTAAATGACAGTTGAAGCCATTGCGCGAAAAGCTCTTGAAAAATTTAGCGAAGTCCAACAACACATTCAGTCATTGGCACAACTTGTGCCTTATCAACAATATTACAGGCAACGTATCCCAAGTAAATTCTTACAATTCTCAAATTGAATATTAATAATCTATTCGCTGATAATTCCAGTTGAATTTGTCATCAAGATATAATGATATTTGGACTCGAACTGTACAGACATCAAATTTTCTTGCCGCGTTCGCTGTTTATCTACTTGAGGAACGATTCGTCACAACCGAGGAATTGCAAAAATTGTGTGGTGGTAAAACTTCAAGATTGCTAAATAGTATTTGCGTAGTTTATCTCGATGGTTTTTTTTTTAACTTTATATAATTTATCACATAAAGCTCCCGTTAATATTAATAATGATCTTCAAGAATTCCATATATCAGTTGAAGAATTTATTCACAGTTTAATAAGTCTGACAACTGAATTGGTAACTACTAAATATTTAAATATTTTTTTTCTTAATCTCTTCTAGCTTTGATAACTCAGTTGTTTTTATTTCCAATTATAGTCGAGATTTGCAATCAACTCTGTAACGCAGGGTGACTACAATCGACCGATTCGAATCTCGAAATTTATCAAGGAATTATACAATGGATTTCAATTGCTGAACTTGAAAAACGATCAATTGCGTAAGCGATTCGACAGCATCAAAGTAAGCAATATTGTGTACTACTTTGTTTCCTTGCATAGAGAATGGGCTTCAAAACTTTTAGCAAATTCCTCTTTGATTTTTTTTTTATAGTATAACATCAAGAAGGTTGAAGAAGGTATAAACAGTAACATTCAATCTTTTATCAACAATATATTTTTGTCTCGTTCATATCTAAATATTTCTAAATTCAATAGTTGTGTATGATGTTTCCTTACGCAAGCTAAATACCTACACTTAGAAATTTTTGTGATCTAGCAATAGGTAATAATCAATACTAACAATCGTATACAGTATGAATGCAAATAATAAAACAAATTTATTCTCTAAATAATTGCAAATGATTTACTTAATTCAATTCACATAAAACCGGATTTTTAGAAATATCATTTTATTTACTAGATTTTAAATATATACAGTTAATTCCTTTTAGATTATAATTAATTTGTATTTTCTTAATAAATTTTGTTCCTATGATGCTTCTTTGATTATTATTACAGTCATCCTGGATATAATGAAATACTAATCAAACTGAAGTTGGATACAGGAACAGTTATAGTAATATAAGCCGATTTTTATAACAGATTGATCCATATTACTTGATATGCGAAGAAAAAATGAATATATTATTTTTTAAAAGATGGTTAATTGAAATATTTTAATTAATTTTATCTTTATATTATATAAAAAATATATTTGAAATTTCAAAAATATGAATTTTACAAGAATCAACCAAAAACAAGATTTTCCTTCGTTTTTATTAAGAAATTTAACCAAAAAGCGTTTTTTTGGCTTTATTTCAATCACTGATTATTTCTTTTGAATTTGTAAATCTTAGAAATAACCTGTATTGATGCATATATGATTTTATCTTTTGGTAAAGGTCGATCAAGCACTTATCCATCCAAAACTTCAAATATTTTATATTTCATCCACGATATCCGATTTCAATTCAAACAAAATATCGTAGCATTCATTCAGCAATGCCATTACAATGCCTTGTCCCTCCGGCACACCACCATCTTCATCCAAAAATTTCCCGTCAACACGTAAATTATCGATTGACGCGAGTTTCATTTGATAGGGATAAAGATCTCTTGCTGAAAAAATTCAAAAAATCAATAATCCATAACACGAAAAAAAAAAGGAATATAGACGAGTTATTTACTCACCGGTAAATGGTCCACCCCATTTCTTAGCTTCATTTAAGAATCGACGAACTGTTTGTAGCTGGTTATGTATAGGCACTAGAGCCTCTATTTAAAATTAATCCTTTTAATAATATTGACCAACGAACTTAAATAAGGAACAAAAAAGACGCATTATACCTGCGACTGGCTCGTTGGAGCTTAAAATTCTATAAATTATATGATAGCATTTATGCAATAAATAAAGCAGCACCTGTCACAATTATATCTCGACGATTAATATCGCGCCAATTCGTTAAAGGTAATTATATATATTGACGCAATTAAAACACACCGTTTGTCCTTCAATTATTTTTCCTTCTGAATCACAGAAATTCCCGTCTGTTCTGATGCTATCAAACTCTGATAACTGCCTTTGATAAATCCAAACATCAGTCTCACGTAAAGTCCAACGATGAGTGATCACTAGTCTTTCAAGACTTGATTTCAAATCAACTAATCGAGCATAAATAGGTTTTAATTCATTAGAGACAACGCCTTTGCTTGCAATTAAGTCATGGCAATTTTCGTAACATTCTTCCAAAAGCCCAATTACTTGTGCTTGACCCGAGGGAATAGATCCATCCGATGAAAGGAATTTTCCATCCACACGCATTCCATCGATCTTGCGTAATTCACCCTGAAGCGTGCGAATTTCGTCAATTTGAAATTGTGCTTTTGCCCCCATGTTGCCTAATTCCCTCTTTATCTCGATGAGACGTTTTTGTGTTGGCGCAAGTTCTGCACTGATGTATGATCCGGATTCGAAAAGTTGATTCAACAACTTTTCTGATTCCAAGGAAAGATGATGAATAAACGTCTCTTTTTGACGACAAATGATTCAAAAAAATATCTTACCGCATGATCTCAATTTTTGCGTCAATAATTTAAGGTGGGATTCGGGAACAACATCGTTATTCCCGTCCATTTCTATTATTCTAGCGATCTCCTTCAAACGTTCTTGATATGGCACTAATTCATCTAAATAAAATACGTGGAATTAAAATCCACATTTTAATTTCCGCGAAATAGATTCTAATTTAATTTACCTATGGTGTAAGCACCCGATTCGTCCAGAGTCCTCAAGCATTGCTGAATAAATATTCGTATTATTTCATTGTAATGTAAATATGTTGCGAAACAAAATATATAAATACCTTTATGGTAGAAAGTTGAACATAGACAGCAGGAGTTTCACGCTTCTTGCCTATATCCATAAAAAAAAGAGAAAGTAATTGAAACACGTCGTCAAGCACGTCATTGACACGATTGTTTTCTGTTGGAGGTGACAGAGACTGTTCTCGAGACACGTTCAGGAGTTCTAATTGCTTAATGACCTAAAATTTAACCCAAAAAAAGAACCTCTATTGATAAATAGGTTTAAATGTCGATTATTTTGCTTCAATGCATACTTTCCTCTTCGTAAAGAGCGGTCACGTCCGCTGGGTTAACGTACTTGTCTCGATCCCTTTTCAGGATCTGTAGTCGATTTCGAACATTAATCAGCGTTTCGAGTATAGGTAATTCTTCGGTTGGGACACGATTCGGCATTTCTTAAATATGTGTGTATCGGTATTATATAACATGATTTTAACATGTTAGGAAACAATGCTAAACGGCATTCATATCCCAAAAATTGTGTGACAAAAATAAACTTCTTACTTTCATGTTGTATGAATCTCTATTCACTGCCGTAATCGAGAACTCTTCTATCCGTATAAAGCAAACTTTTAAACATATGTTTCTTAGGTCTATATAAACATATATTATGGATTATCAACGCCAACTACTGGAAGAGCTAATGGCTCCATTTGAGACTTCTTCGAAGCATAACTTTTGGGATGACGCTGTTTGTAAGCATTATTTGGTGAAATTTTGCCCCAATACACTCTTTACCAACACAAAGTCCGATCTTGGTGCGTATATGAATTTCTTTTTTCTGCGCATATACGATATGTTGATCAACGTGCTGAAACATTTACTAACGGGTGCTCTAACGTAAATTACCAACATAAGGTCCATGTACTAAAGTTCATGATGAAAAACTTCGAAAACAGTATGTTATCTCCAATTGTAACTGAAAATTTGCAAGTTTGACGATATTTTAATCCGCAAATTTGAATTTCTCGTGTCATTTTTTTTTATAGATATTTAGAAAGACCTGATCGAGAAAAATACGGATATGAAATTAAATTCTATGATCATTTGCAGGCGCTATGTAATGACTTGGACAAGAAGATTCGGAAAGGTAAAGACCGGTTGAATGTGAGACCGGATGATTCGGTATGTTTATGTTAGATCTATCCACCTAATTGTCATTTATTGGTTAAGATTAACGCATAAATATTTAAAAAAAATAATATGTTCAGTTACTGAATCCAAACAAAGATGAAAAAGAAGAAAAGATGGTGATTCTGGATGAAAAAATCAAGGATCTTTTGATAAAGGTATTTTTTTTTGATTGTTTTGGGAATCAATATTAACAAGAACACGAAAAGAATTTCTCTTTATTTTAATCATTCATCAACATTTTAATGTGAGATCGAATTTTTTTATGTAATAATGGTTATTAATCTCGTTAAATGAATTTGTGTGCAGGTTGAAGAAGCGGGTGAAGAAGGACGTGTCCAAGAAGCACAAACATTAACGAAGGAGGTGGAGGCACTACAAAAAGAACTGGATTTCTTAAAAAACGTGAGTATTATTCTAATACAATCAAGAATTTAGTGAAGAGAGGCATGAACTTTGTTATGATCGAGTTTGCCTCCTGCATGTGGATGTGAACAGCAACAAGAAACTTGATTGTATTTTCGCGAGGTAATTTATATCGTTGGCGTGTTATTATAATTGTGTGATTGTTCGTTAACTCGAAGAAAATTTTGTGAACGGGGTCACGTATTTTTGTGCTTTGCACAAAGATTCCCTTCTAACTTTGCGTGTATCCAGCATAGACAACTTTTGGAATTAGTCTTTTTTTTTGCCATCCCAATTTTTATTATTATTATCATCATCATTATCATCATCATCATCATCATCATCATCATCATCATCATCATTATTATTATTATGATAGCAGCATTGATTGGAGCTACATACGCTCTAAAAAGTTGACGAGGGCGAGACGTGTTCAAATCGGTAGACCTTCATTTTTCTTTTGCCCTGACTAACCCTCATAATTTATCAATCCAAATCCATGAAACCAATTCTCCCATGTGCCTCTCTCTTTCTCTCTCTCTTCATCACTCATTCTCATTTTTAGAGCGATGATTCAAATCCTCTTTTCAAACAAGAAAGGAGGATGTTGGTTTGTGATGTATGCGGAGCTTTCCTGGTGACCAATGACACATCGAATCGGTAAAATTCTCATCCCCTTTCCATTAATGACTTTAATCAATTCAAGTTAAACCTTCGCTAAATTGTTAGATTGGAGGCCCATTGGTCAGGGAAGCAACATACAGGCTATAAACAGATAAGAGAGACTCTTCAAGAGTGGAAGGTAAGTAGCAATTTTTATGAGTTGCGTACATCTCTGCATTAAATACCATTCAAATTAATTGATTTCTGCGTAGCAATTGAGAAGTTCTCTATCAAGTCGTGATACAGGAAGTCGTGATATAAGTGGATATAGAGAACATCGACGTGATTATCATCGACATGAACCATATTCACGCAACTATAGAAAGGATAAACCTCGGGAAAGAGAACTTCATCGTAGAGATGACCGTGAACATCATCACCATCATCATCATCATCATCAGGACAGAGAGCACGAACAACGTGAGCATGATTATAATAGAGACTATGATCAAAGCCAGCAGCAGCAACAACAAAAATCACCAACACCACCACAACACTATGAGCAGGAACGTCGTAGAGGAAGTCGTGGCAGTAGTAGTGATTATAGACGTGATAGAGATTACCGTAGATATCGTGATGATTGAATCTGGGAAACAATTATTCAGGTAGACATATATTTATCTTTTTATCGTCATTCAAATCAGGATACACATATATTCATATTTAGATAGGTGAAAAAAATTCACGTATGTGGTAGGTTGCTAGGTTTTAAATTATTATTATTATTATTATTATTATTATTACTTCTACTTTATTATCATATTATTATAGTCATATTTTAGAACATAAATTAGTATAGAATTATATATATAACACAGGATATTGTACGTAATAATAATTTAACAAGATTCTTTTGAACTAATAATTAAAAGTCAACATTAATTTAAATTTTGATTCGGGTCGGTATTCTTGTTCATTTGATTCTATCTAATAAATATTATCAATATGGACAGAGAATATTAAATTTTTATAACCGTCGCCGGAGACACGAATAATACCCTATTGATATAAATCAAAATCAATAATTTAACAGTAACTTTACGAATTCAAGTTCCCTCGATCCTCATAATAATCCTTGTCTTCTTAATTCTTTACGTTCTTCAAGCTAAAGAAAAAAAGAAGAAATGTAAAAGGAGAGATATCACTTTTTATCATCCCGTACCCGATCTTTCGAATATACTAACCCACTTTCGTTTGCATTCACGATACTGCAAATACTCTCTGTTACACTTATTTTTGTCATAGTTGTTTCGGTCGAGACACCTGAAGGTAGCTTTGCTTGCCAACTCACATGGTTCGAGAAACTGTGAGGCTTGTTTCTCTCGGTAAGATTTATGAATATTTGGGGTTGGTAATTTCGGATCTGGTTTAATGGAAGAGGAGGCGGAAGACATATTGAAGAAAATGAATCAAAGAAAAGGGTAAATTACATTGCAAATATAAAATGATTGATGACTCATTTCACGTCATGTGATTGGAAAACACGTATTTTCAAAACATGTGATGTTTCAATTTTTAACTAACTCTGAACTTCTACAACCCTTAGGAATATTAAATCAATATTGAGAACAAATTACTAATGCAATTACCTATTATCTTCATTATTATTATTTATCTTACTAAATATACTTATTAGTTATAACTTCTGCTAAGTTAATATCTTTAAATTATATAAATTATTCTTTCAAATCAAAATATTAATTTACAAGTTACTATTTTACTTATAATATAATATAAGAGCTTTGAATAATACTAATAAAATCTTTGATAATAAATTTTTAATAATATATTTTAAAAATAGAAAATCTTTTTTTAAAATTATATTTTTCTAATTATATTTTTAAATTAGAATCTTTTATTTTTATAAAAACTTAATTAATATAAGATACTCTTATTATAATGAACTCTTAATATAGTGAAGATTTGCTTATAATGAAGAAATTTTCTAGACAAAACCAGTACTATTAATTTTTTACTTCTATAATGAAGAAATATAATAAACTTTCAATATAAGTTATAGTAAAAAAGTCTAATAAAAAATCTTTTGATATAAATATATAAAAAATTTTAATCAATTATATTATAAATATATAATATATATTAGTTAATAATATTATATATATATATTTTATAAATAATTTTCTTTATTTTTTACTTTTTTTATTATACTTATTTATTTTAACTAATTTATTTTTTCTTTATAAAAAATTATATTAAAAAATATATATATGCTATATAAGCATATGCTTATCATAAGTAATTTATTTTTTTTTCTTATTATATTATATTATATTATAAATTCTTCTTTTTTTCTTTATTATAATTATTTATTTTTTCATTAAATTTTTTTTTTACTTATTAATAGAAGATTTATTAATATTATCATTACTTTTATTAATATTAATAATAATAACAAAGATCTTATTATTAATACAAAAGCTAATTAAGAAAAAGTAAAAAGAATAATAAAAAAAAGATAAATCAAAAATAATTAAAGTAAAAAAACTTAATTAGTACTTAAAAAATCAAAATATATTACTTAAAATAAAAAAATCTTAATCAAGTTATATTAATAAATTAATTCAGTATTATTAAGATAATAATTTCAAATATCTTATATAAAAAATAAGATATTTATCTATTAATTCAAATTTAAATAATATTATTTTAAAATAAGAAAAAGTTTTAAAATTTTCTTTATTAGAAGAAGTACTTTTTTATTAAATATTATAACATTATAAATAATTATGAATATTATAATTTAGTAAAAAGTAACTTAACTTAATAAAATAGATTTTAATACTTTGGAAAAATAATTTTTAAACTTCAAAAAATAATTTTATATCAAAGAATATAAGTATTAAAAAGAAATAATAAGTATATTTCTTAAAAAAATTTCTTAATTTCAAGTTGAATTCTATAAAATAATTAAAAAATATCAGCCTAAAGATATTTATAATGCTGATAAGATTAGATTATATTAATAAAATCTTAGTAAATAATTTACTTTCTGATAAAAAAAGATCAAAAATCAAGTTATAATCTTATTTATATATAATATAACTAATAATAAATTTTCTTTATTATTTATTTATAAGTTTTAAAATCTCAAATTTTTTTATAATATTAACAAAAATACTTTATCTATATATTATTATTAAAATAATTCTGTTTAAATGTAATTATTTATTTTTAATTACTATATTAAAAAACTTAATCTTTAAATATAATATATTAATTAATCAATTTTACTTTTTTTAAATAACTTTTCAATATATATTCTTGAAAAAAATTATATTTTATCAAATATTTAGCTTTATTTTCTCTTTTCAAATATAATAACTCATTTATAACTATATAATACAAAAATAATTTGAAATTTTAAGATATAATATAAGAAAATTTTCTATAAAGAATATATTAATATCTTTAATATTTTTTTAAAATTCAATATATAATCTAATTCAATAAATATCAAGAATATAATTAATTTTACTAATATAGCTTGGCAAAATATAATTCTAAAAATTATTTATAATTATTAGATAAAAACTAATATTTTATCAGATAAGTTTCATTATAAATTATTAGTTAAAAAGCTTAATAAATTCTAATCTTAATTTAAATCTAAGTTTAATTCTATTAATAAAATTCAAAATTTGATTAATTAATAGTTTCTTGATTAATTTTTAATATGCAAGAATATATAATAACTAATAATAAATTAATTATTATTAAAATACTAATAGATAAAAAAATAATTATAGCTATAATAAATTATAATTATAATAAATTGATGAAGATAATATCAGAACTAATATCTCAAATGCAAATCTTGATATTTATTGATGATATTCTTTATTTTTTTGAATAATAACTGAATAATAATTTTTTTATTAATAATTCTTTTATTTAAAATTTAAAAAAAATTAAGAAAAAAGATTAATTTTAAAATTATTACTTTAAGATAATAGTTTACTTTAAATATATTTCTTTATAAGTTCCTTCAATAAGCTTTTTATTTATAAGAATAAATTTATTATAATTAAATATAATTATATTATAATTAAATTATATATTAATAATAAAATATATTCTTATAATAATTATAATTAATTTATTATTTTTAAATTTCTTAATATAGTAAAGATTCAGATTTTTAAATATAAACTTCATTATAACAAGAGATACTTGTCATAGTAAATGTTTCATTATAGTAAAGAAAAAGTTATAATTAAATATTTTTATTATAACAAGAATATCTTGTATATTAAAAATATTTTTTAAATAAAAATAATAAATTATAATATTATTAATGCAAATTTATATAAACTTGTCAATATATTTTTTATTTAATTATTACTTTTTTTCTTATTTTTCTTATTTATTCATTATATTGATATTCAAATTTGTTATAATTGGATTTGTTCTAATTCTTCTTTTGTGAATAATTTCTTTATTTAGCTTGATATGATCCTTGTGCACTGATCATCACGTGAAAATCGATGATCAAAAATTTATGCTTATTGGTTGGTGAGAAAAGTTATTGGTTGCTAGCCATATTTGATCATATACCTGAGTTTTTTTTGGTGTTGCATTTTCTTGAAATTTCGAATTCAGGAAATCATGGTGGTAAGAAAGTGACAACAAGTGTTACTGTTTGTTTATTATATAATAACTTTCTTTTGCACAAAAAGAAACTCGGTCTTTATTTCAAAGCAGACCTTGAGAATGTGACTGACGTTGGACCTGCAGACGAAGATTATGAATGGCATTTTAAGGTGCTTTTGAACAAATTCTGCCATTTGGTATATAATTTTATTTGTTAATTTATTAATTAAAATTTGAAGGTAAAATGTAATAGTTGTAATGAAATACACGAGAACTGGGTAGGCGTGAACCGTCAAGTAAGGAATTAGAAATGGTACATTGGATTTTAGTTCTGTCAAGATATAAACTATTTTTTTTTTGTTTTTAAGGCAAGCAATGATATTCCTGGCTCGCGAGGAACTGCTAATTATGTAATGCGATGTAGTTTTTGTAAACGTGAAAGCTCGGCACGTGAGTTATTATTTAAGCCACTTGAATTTTATTTTCGAAGAATAAATATGTAAATTTTTTTTAGAATTTGAACCGAAACCAATCAAACTATACACAATTGAGAATTCTGGGAAATTTGCAGAAATGGCAGTGATTGAATGCCGGGGATTGGAATTTGTTGATTTTGAACCAAGGGTAAAAACTTTTCTTTAATTTAATATATTTTGATTAGAATTCAATTTTTTTCGTTATAATTTAATTATTAGATTGGGTTTGTTGCAAAGGGTGCCGAATCAGGTACCATCTTTGATGATATTGATTTAACAGATGGTGATTGGGCTGATTATGATGAAAAGGTTAGTTGAATTCAATTAACGATGAAATTTTATTTTATTACTAATAAAAGATGAACAATATAAAAACAGGCTGGCTTACCTGTTGGAATATCTGAAATAAAAGCTGAATTTCGTCGAGTTTAAGATTATTCGAGAATTCTGTTGTTTTTTTTTAAAAAGCAACTTTTAATTGGTTATAACTGTATTTATTTTGGATTAAGATGAATGAGATCTGGCAAGTCTTAATTGTGAATTATGTTTAGAGCGCTTAAAACAAGGTAATTTATAAATCAGTTTTCTATTATGTATGCTATCAATGATGGAATATAAAGATGTATCTAAAGCTAGATTGAATTTATTGAAGTTTAGCCGATTAAATGAATAAAATGTATTTAAAATTCAAGTTATTAACAGACAAAAATTGATTAAGCTTATGACTACATATTAGAATTTCTATGCTGATAAGATGATGATTTCACTAAATTAAACTAGGAATACTGTCTGTATTAAAATGTAAGGTTAGAAAGCAATATTAGAACGGGATAACGATAAACTGACAATTTCTAATTGCAAATACCTTTTAGTCTTGGAACTATGAGATGAAGGTCCTTCATAGTCAGGGATCAGGACCCTAATTGCTTCTATAAGCTCTTCATTTACAGCTTTATTAACTTCCTTTTCATTTATGGATTCTTTCAAATCATGTCTGCAAGAAGGGCAAAAGAGGCCGGTACATTTAATGGAATGAACTAGACATGATGCACAAATATTATGCTCGCATTCGGTAGTGACAGGAAGTTTAGCTAGTTCTTGACAAATAGGACAACAGAATTCTCTTTGAATTGCTTCGATAAATTCTAATTCGGTGTAAGTTTCTGATTCCAAGACAAGCTTCCATGCTCGTTGATTCTTTTTATCTTGCTTAATGAAAGATTTCAACTCTTTAGAAGGAGTATATCGGGTTTTAACTTTCTTCGCTTTTTTTGATGACGCCAAAGATGATGACTCCCCTTCTTCAAGCTTACGTTTGTTCTCGGGCACGTACATTTCTAAACCCAGTTCTTGGATTCGGCGCTTGCCTTCTTTAGTCCACGGAGCAGGCTCAGGATCATCCCGTCTCATCAGATATCGCCAAACGATGAATCCAGTGCTACCGGTTTCTTTCCAATACTAATATATAAAAATTATAATGTCAAATTACAATAAATTATTTTATTAAGAAATCATCTGGATACTTACTTTAACCAGTTTATATATACCATCATAACGATAACCTTGTTCTGGAGCATATTTTGGATTATGTTTTTTCAGCTTTTCACCCCTCACAACACGTATAGGTTGACTCTTTTTCCAATCCTTTGCAGTGGCACCTTTGACATCATTTACGGCCGCGTTGCATGTCTTTGCCAATGCTAAATTATAGCTGGTAAGCACTTGATCCGAGGTCTGCTTTGCAGTTCTTTTGTTACCGGATAAATCTCGACCACCAGAACCGGTATAAGTAAATTCTTCTCCGTTGTCTTCATCCTCTGGATAACCACCACCAAGAACAATAGAGACAGCTCCCGTTTGAGAAGTACCAGCTATCCCAGCTACATGAGGCCGATGTACTCCAGTCTCAGCGCAGTGAATACGGTAAAGCCAGGAGGAGCCGACAGGAACACCGGGAATTTTACCTCTGTGATCTTTACTTACGATCGTGCATTCTTTGCTACGACCAACACATGCCATACCTCCTCCCCAATTCCTTTGTGTTGTCGCGGATGGCATCTTTGATTTTTTCGATTTGCTTAAATCTAATTTTTTTCCCGCGGTTACAACTTCTTTATCATCATGGGTGCAATCTTCGCAGAACCTTTGGACGAAATAATAAAATATAGATCAGATGTTACATAATTAATAGATAAAAAAATAAAATACCAATTATCAGTTGGCAATTCAGTCATCACAGGGTCCAAGCACTTCCAGTGAAAAACGTAATTGCATTCGTCACACACAACCGTGTGTTCTTCGTCATCCTTTCCGCCGCAGATATGGCATCCACATTCCTTACATTTTTTTTTTGCATTATTTTTACATTTATTGCAAAAATACTCTTCCTCCTCTTCAATTGCTTGAATAGCATTTTGCAAGTCTTCCGGAGCATTTTCATTTATAGACGCTGCGGCCTTGTTTTCAACGACAGAGCTGGAAGAGCTCGCGATAATAGGTTCTTGGGACGTGGCGGCAAACTCGGTTGAGATAGTAGAACTAAGGGAGGTTTCTTCCTCGATGGGAAGAGCTTTTAACGTGACGAGAATAGTATGCTCGTGCTTAATGTCATATTGATGCACGTTAAGACCGTCTTCAAGTTGTTTTCCAGCGTAAAGAAGGCGAAGTCGGTTAATTGGAAACTCGTCTGTGCCTAATTCTTGAGAAATTAGACTTCGAAGGTCGGCAATATCCAGTTTGGGAGTTACTTGAATAGTCGCCTCTTTATTAAAAGAAGGTGCTTTGGCTTTGATATACATTGTTAAGCTATTATTATTCAAACGTTGTCAACACGAGATAGAAAAAACCGTAAGAATTTAAATAAGAACGCGTACTTTTTATTTTTTTAAACGCGTAATCACTTGTCGATCCCGGAAAATTCTACTTTTCTCCAGGAGTCACTACATTTTTTCAGATCATGTGGTGATTTTTAAGAGGTAAACCAATCAAATTAAAACTTGCGATTTGATTTTCTTAAAAGTTTGTTCTGCAAGAAATATTATAATATTAATCTTATCAGTATTGAACTCAGTTTACAACTCGAGGATTATATATATTTAACAAAATAAATTATATTGAAAATGAATGAAAAAATATTTTTTAAATTATAATTTCAAGAAAAATTACTTGAAATTATAATTATTAATGCATTATTAATAAAGTATTTGGAAATTTGAAAGATATAAAAACTATAAGGTAAATTCCTTTTTTTTTGAAATTATAAACTAATTCTTTTTTTTAAAATATAAACTTAATTTTATATAAGAATAAGAAATAGATTATTTTTATATAATAAAAATTAAAAGAAAAATATTAAATTAAAAAAAAGATTTAATTATTTGTAAAATCTCTTTGAAATATAGATGCAAATTTTATTTAAGTATATTTAAAAAAATGATTTAATTCAAATATATAAAATATAATTATTAATTTATATATAATTAAATTTATTTAATAAGTTATTTAATAAATTTTTACTTATTAAGATAATCATATTATATTCAATTTTTTTTAGAAAGAAGAATACTTAAATATATTATTATTAAATTATATTATTAAAAAAAATTAAAATTTAAACAGAAATTTTAATTAAAAATTTATAATTAAATAAATTCTATAAATAAAATAATTTTTCAAGTATGGTGCACCACACTTAGTCGCATCAAATACTTTAAACTGCAAAAACTTTGTATCTAAATATATATTTACAAAATAAAATACATTATTAGATAGCCTTTAATAAGACCTTTAATTTAATGTATTTTTTTGTAAGACTTAATAATAATTTTAAGGAGGAGTTAAAGTTTTTGTATGGCATGTTTAATAGAAAAATTAAAAAAAATTAAAAATTTCAGCGTCGGTAATATCACGTGCACAACCCATGATTGACTTATTTCACGTGTAACTATAGCATGTGATTTGCTAGCTTTTTGATAATTGGTTAAACGATCTAAGAGGGTTCAAATGCGAAGCAAAAATACGCATGTTAAAGAGCCTTCTATATATTGTTTGATTTTAATGGTCATGTCACAATCGCCTCCTGTCTGTATTATTTTAATTTTAATAAAATTTAAGAAAATTTTATTAAAAATAGTCATAAAGATACATTAAATAATAAAATTATAAAAAGACTGTCCCAAGTCTGTCAACCTGGCCATTAAAACCTTTATTTCTTTCGCTACATATGTCAAAGTATCCATTGAAATGAATTTCCTAACCCTAACCCCATAAAAAGCTATCTAATTCTCTATATCACGCAAGTTTTAACCCACTATTCACTGTAAGTGTCCAAACTCATCCAACATACTTGCTGGAACCTGATGATGAGATCGATATTTTTTTACTGTGAAAACTGCAGCCTTGCCAGAAAGACCATGCTCATATGCACTCATATATCAAGCAGACCGACGTGCAAAACAGCGAATCTTAGTCAGAGTAACCGATTCTAATGCAATCGGGACAATTTCCTTAAGACTTCGAAAGCTGTAATCGCAATGTAAACGAGAATACCATTTCGCCTCTCTCCAAAATAACTCAATAAAGTTGAGTTTACAGTGAAACTTTGAGTAAAAAATACACATGTGTCCCGCTGTTTCAATAACTTCTTGTAAATGGTTCTTCTGTGATGCAAAGTCAGGCTGACGACCAAGGATATGTACTGCACAACAATCTGAATTCGTTTGTTCAGAGGGATGTAGTTTGTATTGCTTTATCAAACCTTCTACCCATAACCCACGCTCTTGAAGAATGCGCCGCATACCCTTTGGTTTTATTACACCATCAACATCCACAAATATCATAGTATGGGGGGAACCGTCTGACATCCGACCATCACGAAGAAGTGGCTGCTTGCCATCATCCTTCAGATTCATACGTGAGACTACAAGAGAATCCTTAGCAAACACATTATGGTTGCAGCTATTATCAAACATAAAAAGTGCGATTTTGCCTGGGTGTGTTCGCTCAAAGATTGGAATAGCTCTTTCTGATACTTGCTTTATCAGATCTTGATTAGTCTACCAGCCATCTCGATTTGAGCCCGGATGGATAATAACACATGCTTCAGTATGTACAAGATGTTCGTGATCAGAAAGTAGATTGTTTGCCGCTTGGTCCTCTTGTGAGAGATGAAGATGTCCGATTGATTTGTATATAAAGTCGCTGACATGAATACTAAGATCTTGAGACTTGCACCGAATTTCATTTTCATCGATGAGACCCCAAGTCGTAACAACACCATCATTGGCATAAAAAACTGATTCATCGTGAGTAATTGGAACGACTTCAGGAACGTTAGGTAAAAGTATTAGTGGAATAACTTGATCCATGTCGTCGCCTTCATAGACTGTTATTCAATGTCATAAACTGGCCATCTGTTCTAGAAACTAATTTCGAAAAGCTATTACATCCTCTCGTTCATGACTATCAAAATAAATATTTTTCGAGTGGTCCTTATAATCCCAGCCCAAATGGTGCAACCATCGCCAAGCCATCTCTCAAGAAATTATTTTCTTTTCTTTGATCTCCAAAGTTGGAATAACCTCATCCTCAACAAACATAACAAACTGCTGAATAGTCAAGTTAAACTTGTTTGCCCGCAAATATTTGGTAATTTTCAACTTAAGATCTTCACGAAACAAGAGTAACTGAATCTTTGTATGGTGACCATGACGGGACATAGGAATTTGGCCTTGATTTAACCATTAATTAGTCCAAGAGCAAATAAGACGTGCATGCCATGGACCTTTGTTGACGCTTTGAGCAAGAAGCATACTAGTTGATAGTTTGGAAAACTCTTGATCTTGAATCAAGTGAAAATATTGGCTCACTACGTGAAGTCGTACATCATCAGGCTTTTTCTTTATAATAGCATCGAGTGCTTCCAAAGTAAATCCATTATCTTCATCCTCACTTGAATTAACTGTTTCTTCATATGGAAGTTCATCGATGTCGCCAAGAGATTCATCAGTATCATTGGTAATTTCATGAGTTGTTGTTTGGAGCCAATTTGTAATTTTATTGGTGTGCAAAGCCACCTTTCTCCAAGCCACCCTCTTGTTTCGCAAGGTCGATAGAGCAAAGCCAGTGTAAGATGGTTTCCGTCCTTTTATTACCCATGCTTCCTATTGCCTGGCACCCTTGATAAGTTTTTCGAACGCGTCTTGTTCCAGTTTACCCAAATCTTCTATGAATTTATTATTGTCCGAAG